TATATATATATATATATACACATATATCTATATTGGATATAAAGGACGAAATAAAAAAATTTACGCAAATCACGTCCGCAATTATTTCCGTCTGTTGCAAGTAATTATTTTCACAAGAACATATTTGCGATAAAAACTACGATGCGGAAATAGTTATGCTTTAAAAAGAATATTCTCTAAAACGCATATTAATTACTTTTGTTTAACTATCAAGCAATCGAAAGTGTATGTTAAATACATTTGAGTCTCAAAAATTTTCTATTAATTTTTAATTGATCACATAGCTAAAGATTGTATTTTAATTATTTGAACACTATTTTCTAAATAATTTTTTAGATGAAGATATTTTTATAGAACTATAATGATGTTTCATAATGGTCATGATCGAGATAATGATCATGATCGAGTATGTCAGATTTGACGTCATCAACAGCAAATTCTTCATATGGAGCTAAAACAATTAATATTTTCTATTTGTGTCTAACATAATTATAGTATGTATTGATCATTTAAAAATAATATTATAAATAATCTCTAAAAATACAAAAATATTTTAAAATTATATCAAATTATCACAATGTTTCTAATTTAAATTATTATATTCAAGCAGAACAACAAGTTACAATAACGTTAAAAAAAAACATTAAAGTGAATCGTAACTGATTAAAAACTATCTTTTAGTAATCATTTTGGAGTTACTTTGATGTCATGATGATGACTCGTATTACGTTTGGATCTTCCTTTTCAGGTATTTCTATTTTATTGCAAAAATCACATCAATTTTTTACGAGCATGATCGATTTAATGAAAATTTACGTTTTTATTTACCGGAATGAGACATGATGTGATCTACGTCATTGTCTGATTCCACAATTGGGATGATTCTCTCATGATGGTGCTCTACATCAACCTCCTGAATTTCTGCGGGATCTCCATAGTTTGCGGGCAATTCTATAGCATCGTGATTATTAAGCTGCACATTTTGATAACTTGTAGCGCCATAGCCATGATAAATCGCATGATGCGAGTAATCCTCATTTGGTATTATGCCCGCCTTGCAAACCGCAATTAATAGAGAGAGAAACAACTGGAATACAATAAATTTAAACACACTATGACGAAAAAGACGTAAGTTAATTTAATTTTTTATGTTAATTTTGTTAAAGTATACCGACGATTTTTAATTCGTATACGATCTTTCGAGTCGAACTAAGATTAAATATTAACACAATTTTAAATAATAATTCATCATAAAGTTTATATAAAAAAAAATATTAGAGCATTTTTAGATTTAATTACTCGATTTTTCCAATTATTCGTTGCGACAAATTCTTACGCAATATATGAAATTATATACAATTCTTTTATGCACGTCACAATTACACGATGAAAAAGACATTATAAAATTATGTTCTTCTTTTACGTCACTTTTATATAGTTTCCACTGTTTTCTTAATAATTTCTTCAGCGTTCACTTACATAGTAACTCATAATGAATTCACTTCTCGGACAGAGCTCAGTAGATTCTATTATACTGAAAGTATCTTCTCATAGATGTCTATTTTATACAACGGTGGCCGCGTAATTGCGTAAGTTTTATGTGAATATTACGCATCATGGGCGGATGTTTACAATTCGTGCTTCATGGCGTGGATTCATGTGGACGCGAATTCATAGCACGTTTGTACATGGGTATGGGAAAGCCGGCCGGTTATATCCGCGAATGTGCATGTGTAGGCCATTTCAAAACGCCAAGATAGTTCACCGTTTCATTGTCGAATTATGCAACTCCGTCCGAGCGGTGTTGTGCGTAAGTGAGTGACGAAATTGTGCGATTCTTCGAAATCTCGAAAATAAGTAGAAAGCTTATCAGCGCGGTGCTATTAATTCCAACTCCAGTAAAGTATTGATTTTATGCAATCGGTTTCTGACGCGAAAAAACGGAAAGAAAAATTCTTCGGTGATCTGTGATAAAGACTGTCATACAAGTAGTCTCATTTCTTCTTTCAAATACGGAAAGAAGGAAATATTTAAAAATTTAGCCAAATCTCAAAATAATTTTAAATAATCAAAATGATTGTGTAAGAAACTTAAGTGATGAACAATGTTACAAAAAATTTTAATATTCGAACAATCAGTTTGAGTGTCCTACATATAATTATTTTGATAAATTATTTTTTATCTGTATTTAATTGAATGTTTAGATACTTTTCAATAAAATCAACTTTTTTGTATAGAAGTTTCGTGATAAATTTTTACCACGAAACTTTTTTGAATTATACATTAATATAACATATACATTAATAATTAAATGTCTTGTTAAATGAAATTAAAATTATGCATAATTATATATTTGTATTTTATAATTGTGATCTAAACTCTGTAATTATGATGTGTAATGTTTAATGATGCGATTCAATTCCTGAGAACAATTAAAGAAGCTTAATAATAGTGGGATTTCATAGCTTAAAGAATTATGATTTCGATGCACTCTAGATAAGCGGAAGATGTCCGCAACTTCGTAACGTTAATTATACGCTTATGAAATTTCTATGCATAATTGTTTCTCTAGAAAGTCTGAAAGAGTAGCGATATTTTACGGTTGGAAAGTTTCGGCACTAAGATCGTTCAGTATTTATAATCTTTATGTGAATCTTATCAAGAGAGTATTAAGATATTCACAGAATAAAGATTTACGTTTTGAAAAACATCGTTTTAAAGATTAATTAGAATTCCTTAATTAAGAAGCAAGGTAATTATTCACGTAAATTGAGAATTTAAATAATATAAAATCTAAATTCATTTTATAATATAAATTATGCGTTTATGTTATTAACTAATATTTATTAAACGCACAATTATTTTCATACTTTCAATTATGATTTATGCTCGTATAAATTTTGTTTTTATATTGAGAAGAAATGGATTGAATTTTAATAAATACTAGAATAGTGCCAACTAAACATTCACTTACAGTAAATAAATATTTACTTAAGAAAAAATTATTATTAAATTAAATTAATAGTTCTTGTACCAAAAAATGTATCTTTACATTTAATAAGTATTTAGTTGATACTTTTCAAACAAAAAATTTATTAAAATTTAAAATACTTTTTTTCGGTATACTACAGACTGAAGGTCTCCGTTCAGATTGAAGAAAATGTCAAGAAAATGTATTGTAAAATTTCAAAATTTAAGAAAAAATTAATACGAGGAAATGATAAAGAAAAATAATTTTATTATATTCTCCAGATTAAATTTGTATCAGTTTTGACAATTCGCTTCCTTTCATTTTGACAACTCGTAGCATTTCCTGATTCTTATGAATACATTGCATTGTTCTGATATAACATTTTACATACAATTTCACAATTTACAATTTTCCATTGCATTTTACAAGTTTCATATTTTCAATTTAGAAAATGTTGGTCAATGTGAGTCAACATGAAATCATCATTTGATCTTAAGCACATTTAGATATGTTCTCATTTTGCGCAGCTTGACATATCAATATCGATCAAGCATTCTATGCACAATGAGGCTTAACTATAATGGAATCGTGATCCGGTTGCGGAGCAAACAAAGGTGATGGTGCATGAACCACAGGTTTCACGTAGGACTCCTGCGGTGCCTGCACGTGCATCACTTTCGGCGACGCGTACTGAATGGCGGGCGCATGGACCAGCGGTTTCTGGTACAATATCTGAGCAGCGGGTGCCTCGTACTTCTTAAGGAGGATCTTCGGCATCACATCGTCGTATATAGGGCTCTGGTACGTGGGTGCGTAATGCAGCGGCTTCTGGTAAATCGGTGCGTAGGACGGCGCGATAGGGTTCTGATAGATGGGCATCATGGGTTTGATGTATTGCAACGATTGATGCTGCGCATGGTAATTCACCACGGGAGTCGTCGGTTTCACGTACGTGATGGTCGGCTTTTGCACCACAGAGGGATAGGCGTGAGACTGTTGGATGTACTGTTGCAGGTGAGCTAAAGGTGCTATGCCCAGCTCTTTCTTCAAATAGGCCGGTTGGACTAGGGGCTTAACGTAGACCTGCGGTGGTGAGTAAGCGGGAACATGCGGATAGAGTGATTGATGAATAGATTCGCAAGGTTGGTGAATAGACTCTCTCTTTGCCTTCAACATTGAAGCGTCCAATGTTTTATCCAGCGACTCGACCGGCATATCTATGTGCATCCCAGTTTCCGAGCGCACCATTGACAGCCACAATAAGCATGGTATCTAGAAATTAGATTATATAAGGTTAAATTGTTATGAATGATGTAAACAAGAACTTGCTAAAAAAAGATCCGTGTGTGTGTGTGTGTACAAAATCAAGTATAGAATGTGTAAAATATTTAATATATTTGAAGTATATTTAAAAATCATACTTTTTAAATTTTGTAAAAAAAATACACGTTTGCAAGTATTATGTTGCATATTCGCTAACTATATACAAATATTTTGTTTGATAATTAATATATTAAGTACCATTTAGAAATTAAATTAAACTCTTTGGGGGAGTTCTCTTAATCAAAATTAATTCTCTGGGAATCTATTTTTATAATTTATTCTCAATCTGAAAACTATAAAATAAAAAGTACACTGAATACTCTATTTCCTAACTCTACTTGGAATCGTTTTATCAGATATTATATGGGTATTGTATAAGAATATATAGGTATTGTATAAGAATATACATAAAAATTGTATATAAAAATGAACGTATTATAATAATTTTTTTAAATTGAAATAGATATTGAGAAAGATAATAGAAGCAAGTAAAAGTAAATATCTTTATTAAAAAAGTTATAGCATAGTTAGGTAAAAAAAACTTCTGGAATGCCATACTCAGGTGGCATCAAAGGATTAAATTTATCACAGAGCAATATTATATCGGTGTGCTTACCAGTAGTCTGAACATGATTTTGCTTCTGTTTCTGTTGAATTGCACAACGACCAATAGATCGGGAGTTCTGGACCAAACTAGAAGCGCGTCACTTGTAGTCCTCGGTTTTATAAACTTTTGCTCCACTTAAAGAGGGCAAGTTTCTTGCTGAAGTCGAATGTGATTCCCTTAAGCGGCGTAAAAAGCGGTCGCTAGATCCATGATGCAATCGTACGCGCCCCGGTATTTCCTGAATAAATTCTGTGACAACGTGAGTGAGTGACCACCTCGAGAATGGCGACACATTGCGTCGTTGACATTATTCGTCGTCGTTTATCCACGCGGTGGACACGCCAATCTGCCGTACAAGCCGAACACTATATCGTGAAATATCGCCTGAAGTGCCGCCTGTAGGAAAATAGTTACGTATATAATTTATAATAATTATGGATTTCACGTTTGGGCAAAAAATCACGCGCACCTGAAGTATTTATTGTATGCAACCCTATGTCGCCGGGAGCATTGAAATCTCAGAGATTTAAAATTTTTTAGAAAATTAGTATACAAAAAAGATTTATAAAAAAAATACTAGTGTAACTATGCACATGCATATTATATATGTATATTATATATTTAATTCAATACTTAATTTATTTATCAGATATTTAATTATACAAATAATTTATGTAATATGCATTTTTATCATCTTATATATACTTATGCTATATCTAATGTTGTTATCTATGTTTTTAAGAAATTATTTTGTTTATTACATTATTTAATTCAAACATGTTTATCAAAAATATAAAAAAACGGATAAAAAAAATTTAGCTAAATACAGATCTAAAAAATAATTTTGTTTAATTATAAAAATAATTGTATAGAATACTTAAACTGATTGCTAGATGATAAAAATTTTTTGTAGCATTACTTATGCTTGAGATTCCTACATAATTATTTTGATCCAACAAAATTATTTTCAGATCTGTCTAATTAAATTATTTTCAGATCTATCTAATTAAATTTTATAATACTTTAGCAAAATTATCTATTTTTTCTGTATAATTATCAATTAAATATCTATGTAATTAATTTTTCTATGATTTTAAACTTATTTAACCATAACTAGTGCTTGTATAAGAAGAAACAATTTATTTACCAATTTGTTTAACAATTTATTTAACAAATATAAATGTTATATTTAAACAATAAACTATGTACATTCATCACAACGCTTATGACTTAATATTGCTCGTGTAACGTTTGTCGCTATTTTTGGCATAAAGATACTGAAGAAAATCGCCCAAAATGAATCAATGCTTCTTCCAGTGTCCTGAACCATGTCCTGAGCTCTTATGATGAAAAATGTGCTTGTACACTGGGACGTGAACTGGATACGGTTTAGGTATTGGCACTGGAAAGTGCTTTTCCACTGTCACTGGGTACGGCTTCTCGACGACATATGGTACCTGCAACGCAATAGATATTCACAAAGTTTAATAAAGAATATTTTATTTTAGGAACATTAATTATTCTATAATCATTGATCTCTTTTAATATCACGATACTTTATATAGATCATCAATATTTAAAATTTTAAAAACACAATTAATTTAAATAATATAACAATATAACATTTTTATAATATTAAAGTAATATAATATTTTTCTATATAATCTTGTTTCTTATTAGCTGTTTAAGAAAATAATAATATACTTATAATATCACAAAGTAAAAATTATATTGTACTAGGTGCGTATCTAACGGTTTTCTTTACAAACGATTTATAAAATTTCATATAATCTTTTAAAAATATTTATTTACAATACAAACCTTCTTCTCCACGACATACGGTTCCGGTTTCTCTATGGGTATCTCAATGTGTTTAATAACTTCCACGGGTACCGGATGTGGAACTGCGACTTCGACTTGATAGGGTTGAGGTATCGGAATTTTAATTTGCTGAGGGACTGGAACGGCAACTGGATGCGGAATTGGTATTGCGTATTTCTTGTAGATAGGTATCTCCACTGGCTTAGAAGTTTCGTGATACGTAGTACTACTGTGATCCTCATCGTGATAAGAAGCCCACACTGCGGCCACCATTGTGGCAAGTACCTACAAGTGTAAGTGAGTCATTAAAATCACCGAGTTCCGAAGTAGAATGTCGCCAAGATCGTTATTCGTAAGCGCTTTCTAGTCGTGATGCCCGCGATAGTAAACTCTTCTTCTAGACAGTTTCACGAGATAACTGTATCTAGTTGAACGCGCAGATCACTCGTTTTTCTAATCGCCTACCAAACCATATTCGGAATGGTGTCACGCAGAATGTAGTAATTTCGTAAGAAATAACTAATTGCAACCTTGTCTTGTTTATCGATTGAATTACTCTTCGTGAAAAAAGTAAGATTTGTTTTTCTGCTTTCCCTTTATACAAAAAATTAATGATTACTTAACATTTATGAAAAAAATAAATTAAAATTAAATATTTGACTGTTGCTGTCATTTTCAAGAAATAATATGGTACAAAAAAATGTATCATACAAGAACGTATTTAGATAACAAAAAATTGCTTTTCTTTACTTAATTAATAAAAAAATTTATTTAAAATAATTTTAATATAAATTAATAAATATTTGTTAGGTATTATATTCTAAAAACTAATATCGTCTGTTAATAACTGCAAGTATAATAATTTAATTATATGTATAACAAATAATCCTCCTCTAGAAATATAATGCAAAAACACGTAAAACTAAATGCACAGTACAATTTTCAATGTGACGAAAGTACTCACAAAAAGTCTCATGATTTACGAAATCACGCCCCGAAAACACTGTCGAGACAATTGATTCTGCGATACTCGTCCGTGGAAACGCGCAATAGATTCTACGATGCTTTCAAAGTCATGGCTAACTCTTTATATACCAGCACTACTTTCTCCCTTCTCTTCATTACGTTGATTATAACAATTCGCTATATTCAAGTGCACTCTTGCACGTACAAATGCCAGCACGAATATAACGATAAATACCGAGAGTGTAATTGTGATCCATGTTCTTCACGTTCACCAAAATTAAAATGCATGAAATAAATTACTAAAACTTTATGTTATAGGTAATTTTCGATATGCCTAGGATTTCTGGATAGATAATAAACTATCCGACTGCATATTAATTATCTTTTCATACTTAAGATCATTATACATGCATATGCACGTGTTACAACAGTGGTAGAATGTAAAGAATATAACAAAGTAATATTTTATAACCATTATTAATTAACATCTTAATTAACATCTTAATTAATAATAGCTTGTCTCTAATTTGAATACCATAACGAAACAATTTGATGAATAGGAGTCTTTAATAGCTATCGACAATTAACATCATTATATGTATTTTTAGTATTAATATATAAGATTGTATAACAAACATATTTGTAGCAAATCTTCTTCAGCAAAATTGAAATTGATTTTTTTATCAATCAATAGAATTATATAATTTTTGATAAAATATATCTGTTTTAGAAATATTATTTAAATGTAATTTTTTATTTTTTTTTTATTTTCTGTGAATAAATATATTGTATATAACCTTTTATTGTGCAGAATTTCGAGATAAGAAAAAGATTATCCATTTGAATCATTAACAAATTAGATATTGTGTAATAATGTTAGTAGTTTGTTGCACGCATCATTTACACTAAATACATAACACTAATTATGTGATATAATTTGTGATATAATTTTAAATTGCACATATATGTAAAAAATATTATAAAACTATACTAGTTTTAATATTCTTTATTATTAAACTCATTATTATTAATAAAATCTTTATATAATATTATTTAAAATTTTACAGTAAAATTAGAGAAAAGATTATTTTTTTTTAATGAAAAGACTAATGTTAACAAAGATGTAATAAAGAGAGAGTGATCATTATTAACATTAAACAAAAAGTTATATGATTATTGCGTATGAAACTTTCCATCTGTTTACTAGCTATTATACTGTAGCTTCTGGAATCGGGAATCATCATAAACTAGTCAGGACTAATAACTTTAGCAAACATCGGGGGTTTTTGTTATTGTGTTTTTGTTATTTTCAGTGCTTTAATGCTATTTTCACTGCTGAGAAGATAAAAAGGGGCAGATATAAATGCATTGTGATAATGACAATCTGCATACTTTATCATTTTTACTATCGCTTCTGTTGCTTTTAACAAGTTATTCTTTCAATGATAAATCAGGTAATAAAGTAATTCTCACAGACATAAGGAGAGAGTTTCTCTGGTGTAGTTACATGCAATTGTTCTTCAGTTGCGCTATTCTTTCATGCTCGCAATTGCGTGTATCAACTCGTGAGACGAAGATCAACATAAATGTAGTAATGTGGTAATGTCATGGTCTAGTTTACTTGTTCAACAATCTGTGAATAAACATGATTGCAATTCATCACCAAAATGCAGATGTTCATGCAACCAACAGAATATTGTGAGAGCACATCTTATTATTTCACTGAATATTGAAGATTATTTACACACTGGCACACCTAATTTTCTTCTTTAAAAATTTAAAACTCAATTTTAGTTATACAGTTTTTCTAGTAAAATTAGTCCATATACAACAATGTATGTTTGAGAGCTAATTAAAAAACTAAAAACTGAAAGATTGAATTATGTTTATTTTTAATGACACTTGTCATTAATATACATGATAAATTTATAGTATCTAAAAATTTAAAGATTTTGCTGAAATATCTATTATATATTATAAAAATTTAGATAAATACAAATCTAAAAATAATTTTGTTGAACTATCAAAGTAATTATGTAAGAAACTCGAGCATGATAAACAATTCTGCAAAAATTTGACATTTCTAGCAACTAGTTCGAGCGTCCTATATAAATTGATACTTCAACAAAATTATCTTTAAATCTGTATCTAGCTAAATTTTTAGATACTTCAGAAAAACCGTTCTTATTAATTAATCTTTTTAATTAATTAATCTTTTTAAAGCATTTTAACGTTACAAAGTATGTTACTTTAATTAACAAAGTAATTTTTTGAACAAGAAAAAACATTTAGTATTTTTGTGACAGTAATGAATCATAAATCGTAGAATATATATCACAAGTGATAAAACGGCTATAGGCATCATGGCTGCATCAAATCGACGCAAGTAATTGATGCAGAGGTAACGATTTATGAAAGGCACCAACGCCGAGGGTGTGGTCGCGCGACAGCGAGAGGGGATTGAATCGTGTGCGATGCTATCGCCGAGCGAAACAGTGAAAGTGCACCTCAAGTAAAAGTGGTTTCGCACGTCGATGTAAGAATGCGCGCCATGCTCATTACGGTGAATCGAGACTGCGCGCGAGCCTCCCTCATGGTTGCTGCAGCAGTCGGCGAGAAAACGAACAGATTACATATTTTTACAAATTACATTTTGTAGATTATATTTATTTTACACGGAAATTTATTGTGATTATTATTATATGATTAT